GTGGTTGGGGCGTGGTGATAACTCAGCAAACAGATTCACAGATACGGAAACTCGATCTTGTTGTCCTTGATAATTTGAAGCTAGTTAATGTGTGTTCCCATGAAAAAAAGTAATTATTTAGATTTGTTTTTTAAGTGTTAAAAATTGTGGCACGAATAATAAAACTTCCCACCCGGGCGTGGGTAAGTTTTATTTCATGGCTTGTCGGTCGCAGTGCACTTGTGTGTGTGTGTGTGTGTGTGTGTGTGTGTGTGTGTGTGGTTGTGTGTGTGCGCTCGCGTGTTTCTCCATGTCTGCGTGTTTGTGTCTTTATGGGTGTGCGTGGCTGCATGTGATCAGAGTTTCTTTCAGGCATCTGTTCGGGGCACACTGCCCCCTCCCCACGAGTACTTCCACTCCCTTTCCCCATCCCCCCCCCCCCCCCCGGACGAACTTTAAAAAATGGTGTATCATTTATTTGGAAATTTTAACCAAGCCTCCCCTCACTAATCCAGGAGTAAAATGTCTGAAAGAAACACTGTATGTGATTTATGTCTGTGTGTGTCGCCTATGTTTGTGTTACTCTATAAGTGTGTATCTGTAAACTTTGTGATGCTGTACTTTAAATAAATGACACTTCTTTTCGAATTATCAAACTGTGTGGGTGATGTACCAATAAAACGCACAATATAATAAGTCTAAATTGTGACACGCGTAGGCTTAATGATTATACTCTAAGCCAGTGGGATGGTTAAGTGATTAACAAATCATAGTGGCACTTCTACTTAGACATACTACATAAAACAAATAGGGGGCATCCATTAAGACGACACGCTTTTTAAAACGATTTTACCCTCCCCTCCATCGTCACTTAGTGCTAGCCCCCCCCCCCCTCTCCCCACTGGAGAGATACATGTACATGAAAGAAACAGCTGACTGACTGGACCCTGTATCCGTAGGATGCACCATTTCTTCTAAATGAGCTCACCAGTCACGTGACACACAACAATATCATTGCCGTGAGGTTAAAGTGGCCAGATTTTCCTTTTAAAAAAAAAATTTCAAAGAATTGCAAAAAATGTGCCGATGTGACCAGATTTCGTTAGAGCAAAGTTATTGTCAAGTCTAAATTAAATAAAGTATTTCTTACAGTACTAAAGTTTAAAAAAAAAATAACTAGAGATGGTTTAGCTAATGGTATCTAGCTGGGTCTATCTGTATCATAGTCTGAAGCTAAAATAACTATACAAGTCATTTAGCTTCATTAATAAATCAAATTTATTTATTAAAAAAATATCCTTTTACCAGTGCCCCCCCCCCCAACTTTCTCCCAGAGAAAATAGTCTGAAAGAGACTACACACGATGATGTCAGCTTGTCATAAGTTTTTTTTTTGGGTTTAGTTTTAAACACTGTTGAATGTTTCAAGTGCCCCATTAACTCAGGCTGATGAAGATTTTTTTAAAACACAAACACCAGTAATGTTGTCAAATAAATGTTTTATTATGTATGAATGAGATATGTAGGTACAGATTTTTACAAAATCTATAGGATAATTCTATGCTACATTACTTGTGAGGTTGTGATAATAATGTACACATGCCATCATGTATACTAATGGCATGAAAACAAAGATAGAAGTAATTAAAACAAAAACAGACAGTATAAAAACAAAACAAATGCTATTAAAAAACAAACACAGATATTATAAAAACAAAAAAAAACAAATACAGACAGTGTTAAACAAAGAAAATTGTATGAAAACAAATACAGATATTATGGAAAAAAAAACCCAGATGCTACAAACACAAAATAAACACAGATGGTACGAAAATGTTAGTGTACATATACCTACAGTACACACTTAACTAATTACATTTGCCTCAAGTGATAATGTGGTACAAAATGTACACATAACTACAGCACATAATGAGCTCATATATTATTTTCAAATCAATCAACTGTACATCAAAATCTAGATTTGACAACCCACCCCAAAAAAGTCTAAAAGAGTGACGGTTTCACAAAAAAAAAAAAAATAACAACAACTAATCCTCCATTAAACACCTAAGTTTTATTTGACTACCAACTTTTATAAAATACTTCATTTAGGGCCTAGCTATTCTAGGCTGACAACATTCTGTGCTTCAGTTTCTCTGCCATATTAAAATACTCCACAAAATATCCACACAACCACACCCATCTTAGACATACATGTGAAAATTGTGTAACTAAACTAAAAAAAAACGTGTTAACAAATTTCTCATAAAAATAATATAAACCAAAAAGTCAAGTTGTTGAAGATTTTCATGCACTTTCATAACAATACCCATATTTAAACATTCAAACATGCAGTGTTAGACAACTAAGTAAGTAGTCAAACAATGTTGCTAAATAGAATCAGTGTGCACCAAAACAGAAACAACAGTATAGAAATCATGTTAGTAGGATCACACATATTATGCTAGAGTGATATGTAAAGTACTATTCATTAAAAAAAAAGGGGGTAGTTTTAATTTAAATTTTTAAAAAGCTATAATTGTATGATAAAATGTAAGCTAAGAGGATACTTTATACGGATTAATTAGTGATTTATCTAATAAATAAAGCTGAATTGAAAATTATTTAAATTATATAGTAATAACTTGAAAAAGGGACTGTAATTAAATATTAAATGCATCATTCTTTTGTTTTTAAAATTTTATCATGGACATGTATTATTATTAAGGCCCCAAATTAAAAATTTTGGCAAAAAAAGTTTAACTATGCCATTTCTATCTAAAACATCTGCTGTAGTTAAAACAGCAACTACAACCATCTAAAATGGCAGCTAGTTTTTTAATGTTACTCAATGTACACAACACCACTAACTACCCCAGCAAAGAAAAATGGTTACCCAATGGAAAAGGAATACAAATAGAGGGTATATATTTTAATGTATATTATAATAAAGGCAGTGGTTCTTAACCTTTTTGGAGGTATTGAACCCATCAGATTTATAAGCTGTACCCTTCTTAATAGTTTTATCGACCACTTTGAAGAAAATCAGATCGTGAATCATATGAGTCAGGTGTGAAGCTTGGCCTCCACCGAACCCCTGAGACTGATTCACCGAATCCCTGGGGTTCGATCGAACCCAGGTTAAGAACCACTGAATAAAGGTGATTGTTAAACCTTAGCAAACATTTTCTTAGGGTGAAACATATTTAGCCGTCACAACAGAAGTAAAAGAAGTTTAGTAGCATCGAGAGAAGGCACCATTAAGGAATGTGTTAGTATGTGTAGAGTGGCGTCTAACATTTTGGCAAGAAGAAAAATAAAAACTGCACACTTTCACAAATTCAACTTTGATAAGAACTTGGTGGTATATTTTACTTTTTAAATAACGGGTGGATGTCTTTAAGTATAACAAAATAAATAACAAATAGCATAGCTGTCATTTCATTACAAAGACATAATTACTCAAATTACTCATACCATTTCATTGTAAAATTGGACAGACCAAAACATTTTCTGGAGTAAAATATATTTTAAATTTTCATGACTTAAAAATTCGATTTGCATGTGACAGAATATATGTAAATTTTTAGTTTTAAAAATACGTGAATTAAATGAAAAAATATATTTCGTAAACTGTAAATATCTTAGAGGCCAAGCTATTATGCAAATGAGGAGTAATATCAGAGTAGTACATGTGAGATTATGGGCTAACTCCTGAAGAAAAAGGTCTTCAAGCAAGTGTGGACGGGCGACTACTAGACACAAAACTGGTAGAATAGCACAACCAATTCTTACAGAATTTCTGTTTCACAATGAGGTAAATATAAACAGGTAGCTGGACAGTTACTTCCCCTTATGGTGATCACAACAGTTTTAACATTAGCTTCATACAAATTTACAAAGTCATTATAGGTGGTGTGTATGCTACTCAGATCAAAGAAGAAAAATAAATTCAGAACATTTTTCAAAAAGTGAATCTTCATTATAATCCAACAAAACAATTATTCCAAACAGAATTGTTTTGTAAAAAAGATTTTAAAAATATGGCTTTAAAATATAAGCCATAAAAAAAAAATCACCCTATATTGATGTGTATGTTACAATATAATAGGTGATAAATATATTCAAAACTCAACACTGAGATTTCTGTATTTCAAACAAATTTTCTTTTAAAATATTTAAAACATTGATAAGTGGCTTTTTTTCACTAGCAATCACAACAACATATCACTTCAAATTTTTAAAGTACTATATAAAACAGCTTTATGGAGTTTTCACAGAATCAGTTATCATAAATCTCTAAACACATAACAAGATCGCAGCGATAATTTGATTTTATAAACCACTCACTCATGCTATGGAGAACACACATGAGTGTCATAGATATTATAATAAGAAACAAAAACTGAACAAACACTGCGGTATACACAAGCTATTCTGTAATCTATAGTTTGATAAAACAAGTAGTAATGTAAGCTCATTAGATATGGTGTAAGTACTTCGTTAAAAAAGTTTCATCACAAGTAGCTTAATCTCTTGAATTTAATCATGTCACCACGTACTGGTGGTTAATAAAATTATTATTAAAATATCTTTACCCTATTTTAATAAAAGGTTGTAATGTTTTTTTATTGTACTTAAAACTGACCTTCATCAAGCCATTTCTCTAAAAGTTTGTACTTTATTTAAAATGTGAGTATTTAACTATCACATAAGGACCACAGAAGTAAAAGTACGGATATATAAAATGTGATATGTTCATTACAGGTTTGAAAGTGGCCATAATTTCAACGATTTGTATATCAGGTTAAAATCTGGTGCATTGGACGGAAAAAAAAAATTTGCAATAAAATAAAATGTTGAGTACATCAAAAGGCAGGAGATTTTAAAAAGTGAAGAGCACAAATAGCTCACAATATTGTTACTTATATACAATTTTAAGTACATATTTTAAAAACTTTGATTCTTTAGCAATTTGTTGGTTTAACAAATGTAAAATCAGAAATCAGAAAAAGTTTTGATTTAAAACAACATCAATGTAAATTTATGTATTTTAGTTTTCTTTTAACACTATTGTAGAAGAATAGTAATTTCTGCATTTAAAATTTTGAACAGGTCACATGTGACTTCATATATAAAAATATAAATATATTCAGCTGTAAATTCAGTAACACAGAAGAGAATTTTCACTCAGGGGTATACAACAAGAAGCGGAACAAATTCTTCACAGGAGTAATATTTGCAAACTCGCAAACCAAAGTACATTATATGTTGTATATTGTCCATTAGCCCCCTTCAGTATTGTCAATAAGAAAAAAAAAAGATTATGCTTAAATTGGATGTTTACTACTTGTAAGATAATCTGGTATGGTGACTGATAAAAATTACTGTAAAATATGTAAACCGAAACTAAATAATTCATTACCTCATATTAAAATTACAAATACTATAATATTTGTAGTGTAAATATTTTTGACAAGAGGAAAAAAAAAGTACATTTCAAATGATTAAATGTAATTAATACTACATAAGAGTATGAGGCACCCTGTCTATATATTATCTACGTTCATTTCGTCATCGGAGCTGACTGACGTCATACTGACAAAGGAGCTCCGTGAAGTTGACCTACGCTCTTTGTCCTTGACTGTGCTGGCTGCTTTAGAGGATGACCCCCAAGCGCTGGAGTTGTATGTGTTGGTTGACATGCCATCAGTGCTCACCCTGATTTGGGGTCGTCTAACCACAAACAGAAAATTGTCATAAATTCAAAATATTTATTGAAAAAGCAATATTACAGGTACAAATGAAACAAATAATATATCTGGTTATACAAAATTCTGGATTTTTGCATCAAAAACATTCAAGTCAAACAATTATCTAATCAAATTCTTCACAGTATTAAAATAGTAAAAAATAAAGTACATAGTAAGCCTATTTATAAATGGTAGCTGAAATAACTAACTTGTCACAAGAGAACAAGTGGTATATAAAAACCTTACGTTTTCGGAACAGGGACTGATTCATGAGGTGCTGTACTCTCCCAATCACTTTCTTCATCAAAATCACCCTGTAAATAATGTCCACATTTTATAAATTAGATTAAAAATGAGAATTAAAGTAAAAACTTTTTTTAAGTTTCTATTTAATAGATGCTTAGAACATACATTTATCGGGTAAAACCTATTTAACTACAACTTGATTCTAAATTACAATTGTAATCAGTTTTTAAAAGTCTGCACTAACCACATCATGTTTTGGTTGTCCCCCTTTTGGTGCCATTAAGTTAACTCCGCCCACAGGTTTGACATCTGATGTACGAGCCTGTAGTTAGTTAAAAAACAACATTTATTACATACAAAGCCTATTACCAGTATCAGCCAATACAAAGTTTCCTTTAAGAAAATCACTGGAAATATTATTCCAGTGTAATACTTGTATATTCTAAGCAATTTTTCTGTGTCCTCAAGGTATGTACAACAGATATTATTTCTAGTTTTTTTTTCAACTACTTATAGGTCCCTAGTGGGATATTTCATGCTTAGATACATTTGTCTTGTTGCTTTTTTTATATGTATATGTTCTTTGAACAAGGTTTAATCCCTTGCGCAATCAGTTAATTATGCTAATTATTTAACACACTTACCCCCAGCTGGCTTTCAATAGCTCGAGCTAAATTGGGCACACTTCCAGATTTTTTAATTTCAGGTGTGACTCTATAACCTGGCCTGTAATGATACCAATATTTGTGTCAAGGTAGGAAAGTTGATACAGATAAGTCTGGTTAAATGATGTGAAAGTTGATACTGATAAGTCTAGTTAAAGAATGTAACACCAATGCACATAATGAACTGAAATAACCTGCACTTGCAAGCAACCAAAAAAGTTATCTCAAAAAGATCTGATAGGAGGTGGTGATGTAATTAAAAGTAGGCAATGTTAGGTGGGCTCAACTTTCAAACTTCTTTTTACTTTCCCAGTAATGCAAAGTTTCTATCAGAGCTGGGTGTACCCACAGCTACCCTCCCACTCAATGATAAAGTAATATTGTTACGAAATCTAATATATAAAGCTCAGTTCTGTATGTAACGCATATGTTTGTCGTTGGTCTTGGATGGATTTAAGTGTTATAATATTATCATGCGCATTTGTCTAAATTTATGAGTTAAAAAATTACTATTGAAAGTGTTGGGAAATAATTTTCATTTTTCAAATTATAGTAATAATTGTCGGCATGTTCATTAAACACAAGTTTTAAAAAAATATCATCTTTTACAACAATTCTAATTATGTCTTTATTTAGTCCTATAGCATTTACTTCCCTTTGATAAATTAGGAAAACACAATTACTTCCCTTTATAAAACCATTGCATTTTGTGGAAAAGAATTTACTTTTTAATTACTTTGTTTTGGTGTTGGGAAAAAAAAATAATTACATAATTAGCGGGGATTGATCAAGTGCAAATGTTGTAGGTATTTTACGGATAAGCTTGGAGTATTATAATTGTTCATCAAATTGAAACAGGCGCGTTCGTTTAAGTGAGTGCAAAAGACTATGAATAAGTTGGGGTACTATAGTCGTTCATTAAGCTAAAACAGGTGATTCCGCCCTGGGCGTTTATGTTCGCGTTAGTGTTTTCTTTGTGTTTAGGTGGGTTTGCGTTAGTGGTTGCGTTTTGATTTGGTTCGTTTTTGTTCTTTCTTTTTTCATTTTTGTTTGTGTTTTTTTCTTTGGGTTTGTATTTGTGTTTTTGGTTGGTTTTGCGTTTGGATTTGGTTTGTTTTCGTTTGCTTTTTCGTTGTTTTTTTTTGTTTGTTGGTATTGGTGTTTGTGGTTGGGTTTGTTGTTAGGTTTTTGTTTTCGTTTGCTTTTTTGTTTGTTTTTTCTTTGTGTTTGTATTGGTGTTTGTGGTTGTGGTTGGGTTTGTTGTTAGGTTTTTGTTTTCGTTTGTATTTGTAATTGTGTTAGCGTTATGTTTGCGTTTTGTTGTTTTGGTTGGTTGTGGTTTGGGTGGGCAATGCCGGGTTTATGATGATTACTAAACACACAGGTGATGGTCTTTAACAGAAAGGTTTTTCACAGAAGCCAGAGCAGGGCCTGGCCGGGACGGCTAGTTAAACATAAATACCTGTCTGAATCCAAAATATCATCAATGTCATCATCAGCATTGTTGTTCAAAGGTCTTGATTGGATCAGCCGTGGTTTAGGGCCCTGTAGGCGTGGGCTGGGGCTCGGACCAGCGGGGCCCTTAGCTGGCCCAGACTGTATGAGCCTGACATTAGGGGCGGGGGTGAAAGCCTGTCCCCCGGGTGCATCCTCCTCATCAGAGTCATCGTCACTGTCAAACGCTGTGCTGGTCCACTCAGTGGTTGACCTGCAGGCATCAAGCATCACATGAACACAGACACATGTAGTTATCATATATAACATTAATATATACTACACACAGTTGTAATTTAACATGCAGTTATCATACATCACATGAACACACACAGACATGCAGTTGTAATTTAACATGCAGTTATCATACATCATATTATTATATACACAGTTATAATTTAACATTCAGTTCTCATATATCACATTAATACACACACACAGTTGTAATTTAACATGCAGTTATCATACATCACATGAACACACACACACAGTTGTAATTTAACATGCAGTTATCATACATCACATCAACACACACACGCAGTTGTAATTTAACATGCATTTATCATACATCACATTAACACACACACACACAGTTGTAATTTAATACGCAGTTATCATTCCTCACATTAATACACATACACAGTTGTAATTTAACACGCAGTTATCATACATCACATCAATACACACTCTAAATTGTAATTAAGCAGGCATATACCATTAACCCGATTAAACACACACTCCAGCGTGTAAACAGGCATGAATATGAAATAGTAGTATTAACCTCTGAATACTGGCCTGACAATGTAGTATCACATACATTTTTGTATTAGACTTACACAATAGGGGGGGGGGTGGTGGGGGGGGGGGGGTGCAAGGTGTCCTGGGCTGAGGCTGTGGTTTTGTCTGTCAGACTTACCCAGTAGAGAGGGGTGCGAGGAGCCCGAGGCTGAGGTTGTGGTTTTGTCTGTCAGACTTACCCAGTAGAGAGGGGTGCGAGGAGCCCGAGGCTGAGGTTGTGGTTTTGTCTGTCAGACTTACCCAGTAGAGAGGGGTGCGAGGAGCCCGAGGTTGTGGTTTTGTCTGTCAGACTTACCCAGTAGAGAGGGGTGCGAGGAGCCCGAGGCTGAGGTTGTGGTTTTGTCTGTCAGACTTACCCAGTAGAGAGTGGGGTGCGGGGTGCCCTGGGCTGAGGTTTGACAGTCAGACTTACCCAGTAGAGAGAGGGGTGTGAGGTGCTTAGGGCAGAGGTGTGACAGTCAGACTTACCCAGTAGAGAGGGGGGTGCGAGGAGCCCGAGGTTGAGGCTGTGGTTTTGGCTGTGTTCTAGCTGCTGGTCCGCTGGTGCTCCGGGGTGTTGTTCTCTGGTTTGATATGTTTTGTTGTGGATGCGGAGGTCCAGCCCGTGGACGATTTGATGTATTTTGGTGATGTAAGGGTGTACGTGGGGACAGTTCTAAAAAATAGTACGTTTATCTACTATAAATATGGTTTTAATGTTGCTTCATTAAGTTTAATTTTAAACTTTTAAGTTAAAAAGCATTTTTTTTAATTTACAAATATTTTGTCAGAGAATAAAAAGTCTGGTTATATATAATATATCTGTGTCTTTATATATTCTTCAATAATTCTATACACTAGGTTGCAAATGAATAACTGCCAACAAAATAAGTAAGATCATTAAAGAGCTAATTTTTTAAAAATATTTAACAATTATATCTTTTTTCATTAGCTCCATTTTATTTTTTATTACATGAAACATTAGCAATAGACATAACATAGAAATATAATTGAAACCAGCTTGTAATAAGGAAAACATTACAAACTAGTGCTAAAGGAATATTATTTACTTATAGGTAACAAAATAAATACAAAATTTTAGGTTCTGTTTCTTTTGAGATGTTAGCAAACAAAACAAACAAAACAGAATATTACCTAGCCGTCGTCGTGGTCCTGTTAAAAAGGTTTTGAAATAGAAAAATAAAAAGCATCTAATGCTAAAGCCAATACAGGAATTACAACAAAAATTTTAAAAAGCAAAACAGTATGAGGGTAGTTTAAAAAAATGAATAAGGTTAAAAAAATGTAAGATATATTTAATACATACATATATGGAAAAAAGTTTAATAATGATTAAATCAATCAAAATTTTAATGAAGGATAAAATTTACAAACTCTAACTAATTTTAGAAAAAATTACAAATTATAAGGATTAATAAATGAGAAATTATTCAAAATATTAATAATTAAATAATGATAAATTGTGCTGAATAATGTGTATACATTGTTACAACAGTTAAGTGGACCAGCCATCCTCAACAGAACTGCTTTACAGACCTGATACATCATTTAAAAACTGGTCAAAGTCATAGAAATAATTTATTCTTTCATTTCTTTTAGGTTGTAAGTTTTTAAAGTTAATTTAAAGTCCAGGTGTAAATTGATTGAGGATAGCTGATTGGTCACACAGTGTAGCTGATCAAGGGAGACAACACTCAATCAAGCAAATACTACACACCTGAGGGTGGAGGTCCACGGGGTGAACTCAGCTTCATCTTAAGTTGTCTTTTGGCCTCATCTGTCGCTTTCTTGTTGAAGTGTTCTCTTAACGCCATGAAGTTGGGATATTTCTATTGTAAAAATAAACTATTTTAATATAATTTCTATGATATTGATAGACCTAATCATATGGAATTATGGACTAAAAAATTTTTTATAAAGCTTAACAAGTATTGATAAGTTTAATGTAATAAATCTAACATTAATAATAATTTAAATCAAATGTAAAGTTAAAAGTTTGAAAAATGTGTAAATTTAAAATATGTAAGGTTTAAAAGTTTAATCATTGTATATGCATGTTCCTTTACAAAGAATAAAATTCCCAAGTGACCTCATGCAAATATAAAACTAACTTAATGGCCTTGTGTTAAATTGGAAGTTGGTGAGAAGAAAGAAATCCATCTCAAACCTGAACATTCAACTGTCTCTGTGTCTGCAACAAGTTTAACTTGTTCTCTAGGACCCCATCAGTGATGCCCGTTTGGGTCTACATTTCACAGTTAACAATGAACAGTAAATTATAATGCAACATAATAAAAACACTCAAAGATTTTAAATTTTAATTTAAACAACAATCTGAAAATTAAACATTAAAAAAAAAAAAATATATATATATATATATATATATATATATATATATATATATATATATATATATATATATATATATATATATATATATATATATAAATTAAGAACAGCAAAAAAACTATATAATAAGAATATTAAAATTGAAGATGTGAAAAAGTAGAAATTTTTCACTTGATAAATTTTTTGCTTTGATTAGCCAACAGGAATATGACAAATGAACAAACTCAATGTAAATCAACGTAGTTTACCCTAATCTTTTTGTGACAACATGTGGTATGTTCAGATTTAGCCCTGTGTATGTTATGACGGTTTTGGTCAGCAGGTGGCTACGTATGAAACATATTCTATGTTACAAGTTTACTTGTCAATACGATATTGTTTTAAAAACCCTATTAATTACCAAAAGCAATGACTGCTTTTCTATCCATTACTGTAGAATATGACTACTTGGTTACATCATAAATGGCAACATTAGTTATTAAAAAAGTTCTCATTGAGATGGTACACAGTTCATGTTTATTTTACCCAGGCTTATGAAGGAATTGTGTGGTCAGCACTGTGACCTGACAGGTAACCATGAGAGCTGAGTAGACTCAGAGTTACCCTATGCAGGTCTACTACCACCAGACACTTTTAGATTAGCAAATGAAGAACTCTTCAATTCAATCTTACAGTCACCTACATAACGTTGCGGATCTAAAATGAGCAGCTTAAAGCCAACATAACACCTAACAGTGCGTATCAACTAATATGAGTAAAATTCTGTTATATTCCATCTTTGCCACACCTTTTTAATTTCTTAAAATGTACGACACAAATGACAATTCCCTGCAGTATTCCTGTTGCTATAAATAACAAAGCCAACTTACAGCTGGTATTCCCTTCTTCTCTACAAGTTCCTGTAGCAGTTCTGCCAGTTGTTCCCTCATCACAGCCATTGATGGATTCTTCTTCAGTTCTTCAAGAAACTGACTTGTGTGTAAAGTCCTAGTTCCAGTCATACTTCAAATAGATCAACAGAATTTCATTTACTGACACTAAAATTTGTATAGTAGGCAAAAATTAGTACACCGTATTAATCATTAATTTCTCATACTTAAGTATTTCATTAATCATTTCACAATCACCTAAAACATATTTGTGTGCTTTGAGTTTATATATAAATTGACACCAATGCCTGAATAATCAACTAATTAGTATTTTTTTTAAATTTGTTTTACTTCTGAAATTACAGATTAAAATAAAAATGTTATTCGGTTTTTCCAAGTTTAAGCAAAACATCTGTAAAAAATTAATCACACTATCATAAAATGGCTGACAATTTATAAAAAAGAACCATAAAATATGTGGATGCTAAGATAGAAACTCATATTTTGTAAGCAAAAAATTGTTTCCACAAAACAAAGTTTTTAAAAAATTTAGAGCTTTATTTCAGAATTGATCAAAAGTATAGAATATTGTCAAAAGTATAGTATATTGTATCCAGGAATAAAGTCCAACAATATATATTTAACACCTACAAGCCCCACTTACCCCATAGTTGATGTACCCATGGTGTCTTGGCGGTAAGTCTGCAGGCTGCTAGTCCCAGTGTTAAAACCTGACAAGAAAGGAACAAATAATAATCCACATAGTTAAAATATGTGTTCACTTTTAAAACTGGGGACTTTTTTATTTAAACTAATATTCAAATATACTCATGTAAAAATAATTCCAGTCAAGTTTAAAAATGGAGAAAATCAAAGACTAAAATCAATCAAGTATTACAAATTGTATTAATTAAAAATGTTATAACCATGTTATTACCTGCACTTTTTTCCTCATCACTAGGGTACATGCTGCTAAATTTCATAGCCGGCTGAGCTGTGACATTATCTAGAGATTTACTCCTTGGACTTTTCTTGGGTGCCTTAAACTGCTTGATCTCAGTCTGGCAGATAAAGGTTTAAAATTTTAATCAGATACATCTCAGTCTAGAAGTGCTGGCCAAGGGTTGAACTATTAAACTGCAGCTTTAGGAGACAGTGTGGCCTAGAGGTAGAGAGCTAGACTGCTAATTAAAAATTCTTGAGTTAGTATCCGGGTTCAAGTCAGCACAATGGCCCTGAGTCCACCCAGCTCTGATGGGTACCTAACTCACTTTAGGGAAAGTAAAGGCGAATGGGCATAGTGCTGACCACTACATCTCTTCATATGCCAAGGTCACAGAAACAGGTGAACTCAACTAGCCCCATGGATTGTCAGGTTCAAAAAGGGAACTTAACTTACTTAATCAAAAAGATAAAATATTCATTGGCTAATTTCAATCTAGGTGCAGTAATAGTGTTTATACTTCTAAACCTTTTGTTTTGTATAGAAGAAACAAAGTCTACATTTAGCTAAAATAAATTACATTTATATTTAGTTCCCCAAAGTAATATTAAGGGTAAGAAGTAATTACAGTTTTGGTGATTTCCTCTTCAAGCTGATGTGCTTCAACTTCTAAGGCTTTCTCACGCTCTCTAGATTGCTGTAAAACATGTGAGAATCAAAAGTAATAATACAAAGTGCTTTGTTTTTTAAAATGATTTTAAAAATTTTGAAAAATCCAAAAGATTTGTATTGAACAAGTAATCAATAGTTGATTTTAGTGTCTCATTAAAATGGAATTGATTAAATTTTTTTTTCTTTTTTCAAAAAACAATAACATTTAATAATTGTATTTTGTTAACTTAATTAATGAATTCAGGAATATCAAACGCTAATGTCATAATAAACATAGTAATAACCAATTAACATTTAGCAACAATTTAAACCAAAATACTTTTTAAAAAACTTCAATGTGTCAACATGTTGCAAGTAAACTTACAAGTTCAATTTTCATAGATTTAAAATAGCTTTCAATTGCTCCCTTTAAAATGAAAAAGAAGTTGGTACAGTATTTTGTAAATAATTGTATACCAGGCTTTTTCAATAATTCAGTTGAATTTTAAACAATGTCATTTTAATGTATAGCATAACTAGTGCAGTATTGTTACTTTTATTGAAACAGCTTAACAATTTTCTGGGGGGCAAGTTTGTTTTTAAAAATAATTTAGATGTTTATAGTATGCAGTGACATATAACAAAATACCTTCAGTAACTGTTCCACTTCCTTTTGTGATTCTATGGTCGTCTTGCCTATGTTCCCGTCTTGGGAGTGAGATGTGGTTTCCAATGCATTGTTAAGCTGTTTTTTAAAAAAAGCAATGGATGAACATTGGAAACAGTTTATATAAAAATTCTGTTAGCTTATTTAATGTTTAAATAAAAGATTTAATTTGTTTGAATACTAAAATTTTTCAAACAGTAACTAAAGAGATGAATAATAAAAATTGCTTATTCTCACTTTCTTTGTTTCTGTGGCATGTTGCTGAGCCATGCGCTGCATTTTCTTCTGCCATTTTCTTTCTTGTTTCTCTAGGTTTATTTGCATTACTTCCTTCATTTGATCCAACTAAAGGGAAAAAAAATCAACTCTGGGTTCAAAATCCTAAAACAGTAATGTTTTTTCATTGGAAAACTAAGAATGTAGGTAACCAAGAATTGTGTTAGGGTTAGTTTATGCCATTGGTCAAGTACATAAACAGCTAATGGGACTGACCATTCAACACACAAGGTGAAAGAGGGCAACATAGTATGAGGTTGCGTTTAAATATAATATATCATACCGGAAATTCCATTTGGGTTTAAATACAAATGTCAAGAGCTACACTAGTCCTAACTGATCTTCAACATCATAAGGGGAGAAGAAATAACATCGGGACAGAAAGTATCCTTCCATGCTATAATCATAATGGAAAATTTTGCCTAGACGACCATTGCTAATTTCTTAAAAGGGAAATACACTTTACCACAAGAAGATATAACATCAGAAGGAAATACCTGCTGTTGTAACTGTCCCTTTAATACTGCTATCTCCATCTTTTGTTCTTTGACTTCTTTCTTTTCATTTTCATTATCATCCACAAGTTCTCCGAGGTATGAGCGCTTCTCTAGAAGGCAGATAAAAACAGTGTAATCATTTTTCTAGTCTTTAAATGAATGTGTGTCAAGTTACAATGTATATCAAGTAATGAATGACTAATACACGTTACACATAAAACTATGAATGTGCTTAAAACAGGACCATGTGTGTTTTAAATAAAAGACGAGTTACCTCCTGTTCTTGCTTCCAATTCTTTCAGAGCATGCTGTGATGCCTGCAGCTTTGCATTTAGTTCTTTGATCTCTTTCATCAATGTAGAACTGTGACCGGTTTCACCCTCCTCCTGATTAAAGAAAATATTTCCAATTATGATTTTTGGATTTTCAGCATTTCAATCTACTGCACAAATTATATTTTGCAATGGACTTACTTTCTTTAGCACTAAAAAAAAAACTACTAATTTGATATTGCTCTCCTAACTTGAAAATAAATTAACTTCAAAACAAACATCCTTAGTTAAATAGTATGGCAAACAAAAAGGTTATACCTGCAAGATTTCTGTTGGGGCTGACAAGATTTGTTGGACTTGATTTGCTAAGATTTTAGCATCCTAGAAAAAAAAATATGTATTTTATTTCTTTTAAAATCTAAATAGTAATATAAAAATTAGATTAAAAAACAACAGTTCTTAATATTATATTCTATGGGACAGCATGGCCAGGTGATAGAGAGCATAACTGTTGACACAAAAGTCTTGAGGTTCAGATCCCAGGCTCAAGTCTGTATGACAATCTTGAGCCCAGCCAGTCTGATGGGTAACTCACGTTAGGTAAAAGCAGCTGGGCATAGAAATGAACTCAGCATCCTATCAGTTGTCAAGGCTATGGAAAGGTGAACTCTACTTCACCTGCCCTACAGGTTCAATGATGTATCTACAATAATGCAATTAGCGCTAATAGATGCTTTCCAAGCACTGGGCACAGAAAACCTCACCAAATGTATCAAGGATTTGCATAGTAGGAGACCACAGCACAGTTTGTCAATGATGTTGGTCTTGTTTAAACCCCCCTCAATTATTCAATTGAGAACAAAAAAGAAGAAATAATTAAACCCAGATAATAGTTTAAACTTGATACTGACTTTATTCTTCAGTGACTGAAGAGCTCTCCTTTCTTCTTGTATTTCAGCCTCCTGCCTGAGTAGCTTTTCTTTGATTTGGCTCAATTCATTTTCTAAGTTATTTCTGGCACTCTCTGAGCCCACACCTAGGTCTGGACTAACAGAGCTGGATCCATCTTTGTTGTTGATGCTGATGCCTGCATGTCGTCGAGTGATATGGAGTTGCAGGTATGTATTGTTGAGGAAGGATTTCACACAGAAAGGACACTGAAATGTGTGTACATAATTTTTTAAACAAGCACAACTAAAAACCAGTGTACTCTTGTGTAGTGTTCTTTAGACCACTAGATTGTTTTCGTTAAGAAATATTATTTTTTTATTGGTACTAAGACAACCTAAACTGTAAAGATGGTTGTTAAGACTACAGTACACAAAAAGATGCAACAATTAAAAAGTATTATTAAAAAACTTATACATTAACCATTAATGTCCCGTAACGCCCGCTGCCGCCCGACACCGTTAATGTCCCGTAACGCCCGCTGCCGCCCGCTTACAATAAGCATAGAAAAATTAAATTTGTTTCATTAAAATTTGGCCTACAAATCCTAATTTTTAACTAAACAGGAAGTCGGATGGTTTCAGCATCCTTTTCCGGTCTTGTAATTTCAATGGCGCTTTTGAAAGATAAAAAATAATAGTTTCTTTCTATCTCGAAATTTTCGACTCATCTGTCGTATTTTTAGTAGATTTAATATTAAAAATAAAAAAAATTAATGCCTCTAAACGTATCTAGGCATGTATTTTATGAATTATATATGTTAAACATAACCAAATTGATATTTAACTGTTAAATTCGATGCATAGTTGTTAAGACAAAAATAAATAAAGTTGACTACCGAAAATGACCTGTTTTGAATTTTCTCAGACATTTTTTATTTTTATACTGTACTTTTACCGAATATAATATATTCTATTTAATACTGTTGGAAAGCCAGGTTTATTCCCAACATTAAGCAGTACTTTTTATCTTAATTTTCAATTTCATTTAGACAAAAACAAATATTTTGTGAAACTATTCACTTGATCATACAGAGTTATGCTCCTTACATTGGGCCGTCATGGGTGGAGTTTTGGTAGAATGAATGGGACATTAATGGTTAACAACAAGCTACTGTATTTTAAAAAGAAAAATAAATCAATTAAAAAATAATTTTTTTAAAATAATTTTTTTGTTTTGTAAAAGTAACTATAAAAACAGGAAATCTTTTTTTTTACCCTATTGTAGCTTTCATTACCAGCAAACATGAGTTGCTGTTGGGCCAGTAACAATTTTTTCCTTTTATGACTTTCTTTTTTCACCTCAGTCAGTTCTTTCTGTAGTGTTGCTATCTCTTCTTTCACCTTCTCCACTTCCTACATACAGAGCAGAAAACAGAACAATACTTCTTTCAAATGGCAAAGTGTTAACATGTATGTACCCCTCAGATCTGGTTTTAAGTACTTAAAATTAAAAGAGCTGAATAAAATTACATACACTGAAGTAGGTAAGTACTATCACTGTGTTAAATTAGAAATTAGATAATGCAAACATAACAAAACTTAGTAAAATGATAAAAGGATATTAGAAGTAGAAGGCCTATATGGCTCAATTATCCATATTAAGGAATTTTCTTAGAACTGTAATGTCTATTTATGTAACTAGTAGGAAATATTTAAATAAGATATGTTAAATAGAAATCAGATTAATGAATGCATATGAGTTTGAAATATGCCAAACCCTGTGATAGATTTTTTAAAAAGGTGAATATATATATTTTTAAAATATTTTTTTAAATGTGTGACCTGCTCAGATAGTTTAGATTTCTCTTCAAAAGAAGCACACAGTCCTGCTAGATACTCCTGGCTGTGCTGTAACAACAAGATACAGACTTTTTAAAAATATTGTTTACAATTTCACACCTATCTATCTACATTTGTAATCAACTACTCTCCAAACTATAGAAGTTGAAAGCATATGATATCGCACTTACCAGTAGGTATTCTATAGTTAGTTGAGCCAGTTTGAAAAGTTTGACGAAATTGGGGTCTATAGACCTTATGTCCTGAAAAAGTAATTAATTGCACCCCAAATATCATTTTTGTATGTTACATTTTTAATACACTAAATAAGATAATCATTTGTTTAAATTAAATTTAAAATGCTAACTACAAATCAATCAGCATAAATGAGATGGTTGGCAATTAAAATGTTAAAGCATTAAATAAATAAAATGAAACTTAGAAAGAAAAAAAAATGGATGTTATTTTAATGTTAGGCTGTTGCAGAATGTTTTACAGACATTATATGAAACTGCTTTTATATCTAAAACTTACCATCTCTGCTTCTAAATTACAGAATGTTATGTTCATAATGTTCTCTTGGAGAGTGGTGAAATCTAAAGTTCTAGAGATGTGATCGATATCAACGGAAGCAATCTTCCTCCAGTCCATTCTCTCAACACGTTTACGAAATGAAAACCCCCCATTTCTACCAGTAGGGTAGCCGTTATAACTCATGGCAGGAGGTGCAGGCATATAAGCAGAGGGAGACATAAACTGAGTAGACATAGTACCTGAAATGAAAAGTAATACAAATTTTAAAAGTAAGAATAGTAATAGTATAGAAATATTATTCAAGTACACTTCCTTACTTAGATCCGATAGTTAGATCTAGACTCTGTATTCGGATGATTGAAGGTACCGATGTCTGATAACAGACTTTTCAGAAAATTTCTACTAATTAAGTAGTATTACTAACTTATTACTTTTTTATTAGTATTAATTTAATAATTAGGCCTAGGTTATAAGGTTAGGGGAGAATGTTTATACCAGTGTCCGATAATGGAATCTTCTTTAAAAAGGGGGTGTTAGGTTACTGGTAGTTAACTAAATAAATACACACATGGCTGGCTAATGTCAATCTTAATCCTGTCCCTTACCCCAACCCTGGTCCTACCATAAATTTGTAACCATAAGATTACAATACTAACTATTTACTATAGTAACTAACAGCCCAACACCCCTTTTTTATAAAGGATTCCATTATTGGAAACCAATCATCCATTACTGTTTTCTTCTTTTTTTTTTACTTTAATGACGTTTACTTTTTTTTTTTACTTTATTAATTTTTTGTTTTACTTTATTGACGTTTTTTTTTAATTTATTAGGCAAATAATAGGCCATACGGCATAAAAAAAAATAATTTATTGTTGTTGACACTTGTCAGTCAAGAGTTGAATTTAAATTAGTGCACTTAGGTAGTCCACAATATAATATGATTTTGCTGTATTGATGTTATAGTATCTCTGAAACACATTGTATCATTTTTAGTCATGTAAAACATTACTAGCCTATTGTTAAAGTGTGAAATAAAGAAAATATTGTAAAAATTACTGCCGCTTCCTCCGTTGTCAACTCAAACGTCCGCCATTTTGGATTCCTCTTTGTCTCGCGATGTTACAAAAATGTGAATTTTTTTTTTAACTTTGATTTTAACATGCAAGTTAAGAAAGGGGCATTATATTTTGTATTTTTAAAATGATCTTGTGTATCAAAATAATAAAATAATCAGAAGTTAAAAAATACGTCATTGATTCCGAAAGTACGACCCGGAAATAAAATTCTAACCAATAACATCAGACCACGAGTAGAAACAACGAAAGTTGTTTATTTCGGATACATTTCTTAGAGATAGCTCAAAATATGAATATTTCTGTTTGACTGTCTTTTGAAGTGTTCATTCAAATACAACTGAAATGAAATACGATACCACCGACTATTGGGCACGACTAGTGCGGTCATTTACTGTGCTTTTACTTACATGTGACATCTACAATTTCAATGGTAAGTTCAATTGAAAACACAACACCTCACAACACTGACCACCAGTCAACATTTGTCGTCATGTGTCATTTCACATTTGGCAACAAGATAAACACCGTAGTTTAACTTTAACATACACCATCTACACATTTTAATCCATGATGTAATAAAGTGCTTACAAAGTCCATTAGGTGACACTATCCAAGTCTTTAGTTGTACAAAAAATAGTAGATCCGGTAATCTATCGTTTTAGGTACGTAAAATCGGCCGCGACTAGTAATGTGAAAAACAGGTGACTCCTTACATTTTAATAATTATTTCACATTTTGAGGAGGATTTATGTTTTGAAAAATACAAAAATGTTTCCTTGTTTCATTTATGTACCTGTTTTTAAACAATTGAATTAAAACTTTTCAGTAATAAATGAACACCAGCGATATTTCCAACAGATGCAACCACGCTCATTTACTATAGCAGCCATCTTGTTAAAGTTTTATTTTTATAGACATATAGCGCAAGATTCAGGCGGAAGTCACTCTATTTTACAAATGGCTGCTGTTTATATAGCAAATCTTGCTTGCAGACACAGCTGTTTAAAGTTAATTTCTGGCCTATATTGATATATTTAGCCATTGATTTAGGTTTATTATTCATTTATCTATAATATTTGACACAAACATATCACAATATACTTCTATTACAGCCTTGACAATGAGGTAACGTTTTCGTACATTAATAGCCGCGGGCGATTTTACGTACCCAAAACGATAGATTACCGTAGATCCAGGCCTAAAGTTAAGAATACTAAAAAAAAAAAAATGAGTTGTTATCTAACTTCAACTTACTACTGAGGAATCATAAGTATTAAGTAAAGTGTAGTTTGGTAGTGTAGGTTTCATCTGTTTTATTAGTCTGGATTATTCTAGATTTAGAGACAGGTTAACTCACTTTCTGGATGAGTTGCTATAATTACTTAGGTAATCTGTAATTATTTATACGAAGTGACTACTCGGAAAAGATGTTTTGGCAGAAAATACTAAACTCAATAATTCTGCGCATGCGCAGTGACCTTGCCGTAATAGCTGGACTGGGATAGGGTTAGAGTTTGTAAAGATGCATATGCAATACCATAAAAAACATCACCCTGAATGAAGGTGTAAGTTTCTCACCATTATGCCTGTGTATCTTTTTCTGGCAAGAATCGGCCTTATTTTTATGCAAGAGACTAGACGAAAATGATAGATTACATGCCAATAGTATAGATTATAGATCTAGATATAGGTCAATACAAATTTTTTTTTTTACGTAGGTGAGAAATCATCCTTTTAATTGCAAGAAAAATAGTCCTGTTTTAAATTTAGCACACATCCTATTCACTGAAGTAGTCATATTGTGGTGCGATCGGGTGCTACCCCGAAAGTCCAGAGCTCATATCCCAGACTTATGTCCATAGAGAGTACATTTCTTAGTACATTCAGCTCTGATGGGCACTTGACTCAAAATTTTGGAAAGTAAATGCAGCTGGGCAAAGTGCTGACCACTCTATACCTTCATATGATGCCGCCATATATAGTTAAATGAATTATACTTTTTCTACCCTTTGGATCACCAGGTCCAAAAGGGCAAAAAAGGTCTTGAAATTTATCACCTTTAAAAGTAATACTATCAGAAATTTAGAAATCAACCTTAAATAAAAAAAAATTATGTATTAATTGGGCCCTAGGTATCTTTTATTTTATTTATAATTTAAGTGGAGAGTAGTACTTGGATGTTTCTAACATACATTTTAAATTGAGAACTTTATTATTTTTACAGTTGTTGAAGGAGTTAACCCAGAAGTGGAGCAGCACTTAGAAATGGGAAAGAAGTTGTTAGCAGCTGGTCAATTGGCTGATGCCCTTTCTCATTATCATGCTGCAGTTGGTGGGTGTCTACAAATGCACTTTCACTTGAAATTTATGTTTAAACTGTTAAATTAATTTTGATTTGTTATTCCCACAGCTTTGCTGCATTTTGATGTTTTATTGTTTTTGAGTCATTTTATCTGACCGAATATTTTTTTTTTAAATATAAGCTATTTGTTAAAACATTCATGTAACTTTTAAATCATTAAATTCAAACTTTGTTTTTTAATTTGTATTATTTAATGCAGTTAGTTGATTTATTTTTTATTTTTTATTCTTCACATTTTGTTTAATTTTATATTCTAGATGGTGATCCAGACAACTACTTAACATATTTTAAAAGAGCAACTGTGTTTTTGGCCTTGGGCAAGTCACGTTCAGCCCTGCCTGACCTGAACAAAGTGGTGGAACTAAAGCCAGACTTTACTGCTGTAAGTATCTACTACTTATTCATCAGTAAGCAGTCATGCTGGACTAATTTTGTTTGCTTCTACCCGAAACCAAACAGCAATGCAGCCAAACACCTCAGTGTATTGTATGTATTTTCCAGTCTAAAAGTTACATAACAGTAATGTGTCACCATGTGCCATTTTCTAGATTACAGTGGCAATCTACTCAGCTTGAACTCTCTTTCTACTTTTCTTGTGCTGTCTTATACGTCATTCAGAATGTTTTAATTGGTTGGTTTTTGCTGATAAATTGCATGTATTAATATTTATTTAGTCTAGAATTCTTTCATTAAAAAAACAATTATTTAAATATGCAAACAGGCCAGAATGCAGAGAGGAAATGTGTTGATGAAACAAGGCAAGCTTGCTGAGGCCTTAATGGATTTTACAGAAGTTGTAAGTGTTTTTTATTATATTAAGATAAACATTTTAAAAATTTCATCTTTGACTTATCATTTTTGAAGAAATGGTTGGTCTTAAAAAAGACTATTAAAAAAATGTAACCATGAAGCAAAATGTTCAACAGCTAGATCTTAGCTTTGCAATGATTGTACTCTTTCCTACTTGACTAAGAGACACCCATATTTTTGTATTACTTTTTTTGCCACATATATCAACGATCATTTTCATTCCTTTGTAGATTAATAGAGAACCTGCCAACAATGAGGCCATAGAAAAGGCTGAAATTGTGAAACCTCTAAGAGAAAGTATAGAGCAGGCCAAAGTTTTATTTGAGCAACGTGCCTATCAAGATGTTATAGTGCTCCTAGAGAAACCCATTGAAGTAATACATTGTTCACTTTTTAAAATACTAATTTAATAACAAGTTCAATGCCTTTTTTTTTAAATTGAACTTTTTAGATATATTTTACCATTAAACTTACTGTTCAATGATACATTAATGTTATGCTAATTAATTAATACTGCATTCCTCTGTTACAACCATTTTAAGGCATACTTGAAAATAATTAACTTTGCACTTTAAGTCTTTTCATTTTCATGACAACATTTTATTTGCTCAGCTATGTCCATGGGACACCGACTTACGAGAAATGCGGGCTGAGGCTTACATAGCACAAGGAGAATATTTTAAAGCAATCAGTGACATAAGACCAACAGCAAAGCTTATGCCAGACAACACAAAAGCATACATGAAAATGAGCACCTTGCATTATCAAATGGGAGAAGAAGAAGAAAGTCTTTTGTAAGAACACATTTTAAAAAACTTTTTTATGTTGATTGTACATTTCATCGTTCTGGTCTGTGTTGTTATAGATGTTTTATAAACGGATGAACTATTTCTTGATGTAATTTGAATGTTTACTCAAAATTAAACTTTACTGTTTCAGACAAATTAGAGAGTGCCTTAAATTAGACCCAGATCATAAAGAGTGCCACAACCATTACAAGAAAGTTAAAAAATTAGTCAAGCAGTTACAAGAAGCACAAGAACTAAAGAATAACGGCAACCACGATGATTGTATTACTAAAGCACATAGTATTTTAAAGACAGAATCCAATGTGATGCCATTTGTACTAAGAGCCAAATCATTTATTTGTCATTGCCAGGCACAGGTAATAGGATCATTTTTTATTTTCATTTTCTGTTGCAAGCCAAAGATGTGTTTACTAAAAGTGTAGCTAGTAAAAAATTTATATTTGGTACTGATCATAGATAAATTTATCTGTTTTTAAACTTGGGCAGCTGAAGTAGTGTTCATCTATTTTCAATGACTGTGTCATATAAAAATGGATAGTATTAGTGTGGTCACTACTATGCCAGGCAACCGTAGTTTTTTTCTGACATGATTCAGTTACCCTACGGAAGTGGGTAAATAAAGGGACTTTTACAGGATCAAGTCCATGAAACAAACTCAAAACATAGCAGTAATTAAGAAATTGTTATATTTCTTTATTGGAAGTTTTTGCATTACTTAAAACAAACAGTGTCAGCTTGTGTTGGTCATAGATTTAGTTTTCTTTATCTGATCAAAATGTGGTTTAACTATTTTCTGCTAAACATGGGATATTTCTATTTTAGAACTAATTGAGAAACTATTGTTTTTATAATTCAGTCAGGTAAAGTAGATGAAGCTTTGAAGTCTTGTAGCGAGGTCATCCAAATTGATCCAGGTAACATAGATGCTATGGTTGATAAAGCTGAAGCACTTATGGCAAATGAAGACTATGAATCAGGTTAGTTTTGATTGGGTTGATTCTTTGTAAACTTGCTTATCCATTACTAAAATTAGTTTAGAAATACCCGTGTTAATAGTATGTTTAAAACACACAAGACTGCTTAATCTAGTATTGTTGGTGAAAAATGTAAATGCTCATATTAAGCTAACTGCATATAAGCATTGTGATAGAATTTGTATTATAGTTATTCTTAAGCTAGATTTCTTTTTCTAATGTACATTAAAAACAGTTTCGTAAACTTTGTTTAATATTTTTTTTATTTGTCCAGCCATTCGAGAATTACAAGAGGCACAAGAGATTGACCAGAACTCAAGAAGAGTTCAAGATGCATTGAACAAGGCACAGAAATTACAAAAACAATCTAAGAAAAGAGATTACTACAAAATTTTAGGTGTAAAAAGGTCAGTTAGATTTAGAAAAACTATAAGGGGAACAAATGGATACATTTTTTAAAAAGTGTATGTTTTTTAAAATGTTTTGTACTTAAAAAGTTCCATATACAATTGTTTGAATTCAAATATTAGATATATTTTTTTATTGTCACCATGCAGAAATGCTTCAAAGAAAGAAATACTTAAAGCTTATCGCAAACTTGCTGTGAAATGGCATCCTGATAAACATGAGGGTCCTGAAAAAGAAAAGGCACAGAAAGTGTTCATAGATTTAGCAGCAGCCAAAGAAGTTCTCACAGATCCAGGCAAGTCCAACAACTACAAATTCTCTTAGAATTTCTTCATACAATATTTAAGTGAATGTAAGATAATTTATTATTTCTGATAATTATATTAATGAGTTTGTTGTTTCTACAGAAAAAAGACAAAGGTTTGACAACGGTGAAGATCCTCTTGATCCAGAAGAGCAGCACGGAGGTCACGGAAATCCATTCTTCCACCAAGGCTTTAATCCATTTGGCAATGGCGGTTTCACATTTAAATTCAACTTCAACTGACAATAGTATATTTTAGGTAGCATATGTATCTATAATAGAACATGTAGGCTTCTCAGCTCTCAACAGAACTTACTGAATTGTGAGGATCAAAATGACATTGGGGGTATGGGGTAAATTGAAAATAAAACCACCTGCTCATTGGAACTAAGACTAATACAACTCTTATTGCACTAGTACTGTTGAGAGGTGCGTTTTATTTATTATGCATTGTTTGGATACAATAGTTTAATATTTTCTGTTTTTGAAGGCTTATATTTGACACAAGGGTCATAGATTTCCTTTAAGTTATTTTCATTACATAACAACTCACTTAAGTTTATTATAGTGATCTTTTAAAACAATGGCTCAAGTTTACATCAAATTGAAAACAGTATATCATAGCTTTCATTTTTTTTAAACTTACATCATATTCTCACTTCAAAACTTTAAAAAACCACTAAAAAACTGATAATATTAAAACAATACACACTCAAGTTAAAATTTAAATTCAGGTTTTTACTGAATTTTATTTTTTAAAGTTACAAAAAAAGTAGATGCTGCTTATTGATATGCTCAATCAAATTGTTTGTAAACCTTAAATTTAAGAATTAAAGTTACGTGGAATTAATAGTAATTTTACCAGTTGTTTTAATATTTTCTATAAGCTTTTTGACTCAGGAGAGCTTCACAATGTTAGCCTGTGGGGCAGCTTGTTATTCTAACCATAATGCTGATGTAGATGGTTTACCAAGGTTTTAAACATGTTATATTTAATATGTATGGTTTTTTATCCTGATGAAACTAGAGTGATGTCAAATGTTCATTATTTGATAATGAATGTGTATGTGAACATGTATAGACTAACTTATTTGTTCCATCAAAGGTGTGTCATTCATTCATTATGTTTAACTCCTAGTTTTTATAAAACTTACAATCCTTGAGTTTACATGTTATACCTACTGTTTGCACTTGACTTTTGGGCTGCTTTAAGTTTATATATAAATAGATGTCCATGTCAAGAATGATCTAAAAACACAAAATGGTGAGTTTTTAAAAGTGGGGGAAAAGTCATTCAGATGGTAAATAAATTGAGATAAATTAGATATATTTGAGATTTTATGATTCATTTGCCTGATGATACAAATAAATTAGCAAAACAAAAATGTTATGTCTTAAACTAAATACTTTCAATGATGTATGAAAGACAAGCTTAAGTTGCACCATTAACTGTAGAATGTCTGGAGTGTGAGAAGTGTTTTAATGACCGCAACAGTTTGCCATAACAAGTAACTGCTGCACCAATTTTTTAGTGCTTCATCTGTATGTCTGCAGTTTTCCCCTGCTTGTGTGTAATATTTACCTTGAACAAGACATAAGGTCAGCTGTTTTTGGTGCTTCTATATTTAGTATTAAAATTGTGATAAGAAAATCAGTACTATATTTGGTTTATTTTTCTACGGTTCTTTTGTCACGATTGAAGAGTATGTTGAATATTTGTGGAATTCTGTTATGTGCACTGTATATTTCTGGATTATGCAATAAACATGTTTACCTATTGATGAAGTTAAAATATTTTCTTCTATTTTTTCCTTATCAAAATATGGCTTATATTTTTTTATAAGCAGGTTAGAGTTAAAGTTTACCAAGATTTTGTTTGTTTAGTCTTCTTAATAGAAAAAACAAATACTAACAACCTTCCCACTGCAACAGTTCTTTAGTTACTTTGCAAACAGAATTCTATCAAAATAACAAACCTTCGAATTAATTTTTTTTTTAATTTAAAAGCGCAAGATAAAGAAGAGGCAAATTTTTTTTCCAGAAATTTATTTTAAATGCTGTCTGGTGCTTGTATTAGGTAGTCCAAACTGAAATTAACTATTGATTGCAGACTTCTGGAGTAAGTATGTCATGAAAGAACTTTTAATTGTAAGCTCTATGCCACAAATTTTATAAAAATATCTTAATAAATAAAAAAGTTATGCGATTTTTAAAAAAGCAAAATTTGGTAAAAAACTGATTTTCAAAAAGTGCCATTTTTGAGAACCCATATTTTCTAAACTAAATAACTTAGAAGTGTAAAAATTGGTAAAGTTACTGCACAGTTTGTAATATATATGCCCAATTTTTTTCAGTCATCTAAAATGAGTATTTCTAAGGTAAAAAAAATAATTGAAAATGACAAAAATGCGTTTTGGTCACTTTTATTTTCATAATTTTTTTTTTTATTTTGCTTTGGACATAGAATAACTCTAAAACTATTTTGTTGGTAACATTAACAGGAATAATGTGTTCATTATTTTCAAAAATCACATGAGTTAAAATATTATTTTTAAAAAATGCCACAGTTATCTAGAGCAGGAGAAACAGAATCAAAATTTAGTGGAGTAATGTAATGTAATCTAATAAAGACGTGATGCCTACAAGTAATGCAGCAGTTGCTGCTACATTCAAACCTATTGGGTTGATAACTGCTTTAGGGGAACAGTTTTTAAAACGACAACTCCACATCTTTGTATGTCTTGTTTCCCCCATCCTTGATCTTGTGGAGCATCAAGAGTAAGTGGTATGTTTTGGGAACTGTAGTTGGGGGGGGGGGGGCTTGGTCTTCTTCCCTTCCCTTGTAAGGAAAGTTCTGGATAAATGTCTCCAGATATGGAATAAATAATTGATTTAGTGATTAATAAAATATAATTAGATTTACTACTAGCCTATTGTGTAGGCCTACTATTTATCCTGTGACTGTAGCTGGAAACATGAAAAAGCCTGAAAACACCTTTTTGTTTAAAGAAATTTATACTTGATAGTATATTTTGAACATTAATTCTATTGAATGAAATATTCGTTGTTTGTGCCACAATGGTTGAGATATCCAATGATGAAGATGCCATACTGTGGTTCTCAACATCATATATGACAATTTAACTGTCCTTCAGTGTTACTATATGCATATAAAATAAATAAATAATGAGAAATACTACTAGTACTACTTACACTTACAACTAATATAACATTTAAAACTAAGTCACAACATGTACAATCTTATTAAATTGCACCACCATCTAAAAATTGATCTGGTACATTTTATTAAGGAGACTGGCGCAGACCATTTCACATTATTCAGCAGGGAATCAGAATCAAAGTGCACAACAGTAAATTAAAAATTAATCACATTAGTCCTTAAAATTTAGTGTCTTTTGTTTTAAATAAATTGATAAAAATGTATAGTTATTACAATTATAAGTTTCTTTTGTGTTTCAATAATATTTTATAAGTATTTAACCTTCGTTCCCTGTTCGTCCACATAGATCTAGTAACCAAGAATGTCTGGTGGCCATTTTGAATTTGTCGATTCATAATTTTGACGCGATAGTCCAGATAAACTGTAGTAATACGACCCTATCATTAATCCCATTCGATAGATTTTAAAGAATTAGTAAACACTAGCATCTAATAGTTAAGTGCATCCATATTTTAAGTCCCTAGAATGTCCTGAATTAAATAGCTTCACGTTTAAACACACCATGTGTACAAGCGTAAATCACACGCTAAAACCGTGGACTAGTAGGGTTCAAATTTACATTAATAACGTGTACTAATTAAACCAAACTGACATTCAAACTTAAAATTCATTTATTAAAATGGAAATGAAACTTTAAAAATGATACTTACAACTTGTTTGAAGGCTCTAGCAAGGGTAAAATCCGTTTAGCATCATCGGTCGTCAACCTTTAAAACCGTTCGGCGAGCAACTGACTCGGGGCTGAAAGTTGACTCGAGGGTTATATGCTTATTGAGGGTACGGCTTCGCGACCGTAAATCAGAAATACTTGAATTTACAACACAAAGTAGTTATAAAAGTGAGCTTTACATCGGTGTAAAGATTGAAACAGAATTATTTTGTTTTCGTGTATATATCGTCATTTAAAGTTTAAAAACTGATTTTTTAAAATGAAATAAGCAAGTTATTTTTTCAATTTATACATCAAACGATAGACTAGCATTCCCTCTTTAAAATGACATTAAGATTATGCTTCTACGATGCTTCGTCGCGAAGCCGCAACCAAATGAAACAGTGTGGGGTCGATCGGTACACGCAAAACGGTGAAATTTGTTGACGTAACTGATACTTTTCAAACAAATATAAAACACATTCAAACATGTGTTACAGATATAAAAATACCAGATTACGACAGATAAAGGCTTAAACTTTATTGACATATAATTTTTATTCTTATAGGACAACTAGAAGTAGTGAAATTTTATTTTTGAAAACCGCAAAAACTGACCCTAAAACGCACTTTTTCGCCAGTTTGGACTACCTACTTGTATTGTAATAAATATATCTAAATAATTCCTCAAAATTTTGGGCTCACTGGTATAAGTTTAACTTATCAGGCGTATTAAATGATAGCCAGTAGAAGTACTTAATCCTGTTAACCCTCCCCTGACCATATAAAATTTGACAAATGTTATAGATAAATAATTGAATATTGTTTTCTTCTGAGACTTGTATCTGTTAGGTTTATCATCTCTCTTCATTCTAAATTTCACAGCTGGAAGGGATTACCTTCAACTTCAACACAAACATGTGTCATATAGGCAATTTCAGCTTGCTTTTCTTTTTGGACTTGCTTCCATAGCCTTTGTCCAACCAAGAACAAATTACAAGGCAGTTTTTGGAGTTCTCTCCAAGAAGAGTTCCTGTCCCTAGCTTCATCCGCCAGAGTTAGCAACCATGAGCTTTACAGACTACCACGCTGACCCCCTTGTTAGGTTTATGAAATCACTGCCTTAGAACTGGGTAAAAATTAATTTGTAACATTCAGTCAACTAAATAAAACCTTAGCACAAAATAGCCTAGGTTTAACAGATTTTGCCTTGTTGAATAAAATAGGCTTTTTAAGTTGTTACAGAAGGAATTTTTCTTTTTACCTTAGCATTTTCATATTTTAGTTCAAGTTCAGTTTTTATTATTTATTTTGTTTTTCCAGATGTCAAGTAATTGTTAGGACAAAAATACATTCAAAAAGCCAAAACACAACTAACCTCTCACAACAACAAACTTGAATTTTTATTGGTAAAATCATTTCTAAAAAACAAGTACAAAGTCCACATAATCAAGGGGGTTGAATCAGTTACTTCAAGCTCATAAAGAATGCATAGATCTCTCATACAAATACATGTGCTCCTTTTATACATGTGCATGATTTACCAACAATCATTATACAAGAAGTAGGTGACAACTGTACAGAATAATGATCAGATGCTAACAAAGGTAAACAAGTCAGTTCTAACAAACAAGTGGGCCTGATACCCTTGCAGGTGACTTGCAGCTGCTAGGTCACAAAATGGATTCTCCGCCTAAATCAAATTTAAACACTGCTATGGATAGGTTACATTCATTCTGCATGGATTACCAGTTTTAAATAAATGTTAAGTGTTTTCCTCATGCTAACTTCTATGCAATCTGTACATGGCTTAAAATAAACAACCAACCAATAAACAAGTTTAAAATTTACCGAATCAAGTGTATGCAAATAGTCCTATAAAAATTTTTAATGGTGTACAATGAAACTGTATTCAGCTAAAATGTTTATATAACAGCTAAAAATGTATAGAACCTAAAATAAAATATTTTGATCAGTTTATCCATTTACTCATCTGACATTTACAAGAAGAATTCCCATCCACATGCAACAGCTCTGAAAAAATACAATGCTTTTTAAGACCAGACAATTCCTTAATTTAAAACAACTTTATCGAAGTCTCCAATTTAACCTTGACTATGGCTATATACTATATGTACTAAATTATAAATTGAATTCATAGTGAAGGCTTCAACAGCTGGACAAGATCAACCTTTCATACTTTATTACATTTTTGCTGATGGAATTTTTCCATCAGATTCAACAGATCATAAGAGAATTGACCAAATAATCTAAGTGAAAAATGGCTAGATTCATTTTCTCATTGGTGATTAGCAATTGTTAAGTATGTACAAGCTAAAGCAATTTTCAATTACCTCAGTTATGATGATTGCAACAGCTCTTCAGTAGACAGAGGTGAAATCTTTGCAACCTCATGAAAAACACTGCAGATAAACATAATATTGAATTTTTATTCAAAAAGCTACAATAATTGTTGTCAAATGCAAAGATGGACACCTGAATAGATCATGGAAGGTAAGAGCAACCAAGATCACATGTCCTAGCTGTAAAACTGCAATAAGGATGTGGTGTAATAAATTTTTTTTTAAAAACTGTTTATAGAGTAAAGCTTACTAAAGAAAATATGGATGATTTCTCTGTTAAAGCTATGTAGCTTTAAAAAATTTACACCATCAAGAGTACTTACGCATGAGAATATTTACAGCGAATGGTGGACAACTGTGGAAGAGCAGGACTAAGAAGCATTTGGTTGAGCATCACCACTAAGTGCTTGAAGTCATCTAGTTTATATCCACTTCCTTTGACAACATCTCCTTCCTGTAAAGAATGTTATGTTAAGTAACACAAGTTTAAAATAACTAAAATATTTAATACTAATTCTGTATCAAATCTACATACCCATGATCCTTCTTTCCTCATCTTTTGTGCAATAAATAGTGAAGCAGCAGCAATCATGGAGTCCTTTTCTGTTACAAAGCTGTAGTCCATGAGTGACAACTCTAAAATGTATCTAGCCAGGGTCAAAGTTTCCATGGACTGACGAGCAACCTAAGTAGTTAATTGAAAACAAAATTTATCAGAAATTTTAGAGAATTTAACTCTGTGTTCAGTCTCTAAACATACTTGAAAAAAACTACAATTTCTTAAGATAAATAGTGCTATGGTGATTTATTATTAAACAAGCCTCACCTTTGCATATCTACGCAAAAATCTGTAAGAGATAGGGATGCCCAAATCAAAATCCACTTTTCTTAAAACTTCCATCTCCATATGAATGAACTGGTCACGATCGAAAGCATTGTCACAAATGTAAGTGAAGTCTTCTATCAAAGGAGGGCAACGTTCCTGAAAACATTTTTCATAATGAGCAACTTGGTTCCAAATCAGGCCTCTTAAGGTCTTATCAACCTAGTAATACTACTGTAAACCATTTGAGATTTAAAAGCCGAAAGAAAGCAATACGTACATCAAATTTAGAAGCAATAAAAACGGCAGCAGCTCCAACAAGTTGTAAGACATCCTTATCTACTTTGACTCTGGATAAATATATATCTGTCAGCTTGACTGCCAGGTACAAGGTTTCATGGTTCAATTCAAAGTTCTCTTGTATCTCCACCATCCAATCAACTAAGATGGATCTCATTGCAGCAGTAATAGAGTTCTCTTTCCCATTCAAGTAGGCTGGGATGCGGAACATTTTCTAACAGAGGCAGTTGAATATTGATAGAAAAAATGTAATACCAAAGTTTCAAAATTGTTTTACATCTTGAGTAATTCTACTGTTTAAACAAGTGAAAAGGAAAATGTACTTCTCTGCGCTTGTAATAATCAAATATATCCTGAGCATAAATCCCAACATTGAAGACATCTGTGTAGTTCTCTTGATCAACTGAGAGCAAGCTTTTTTCTGGTTGCTCTAACTTTTCACTGTCACATGATGTGTCCTTAATTTTAAACAAGAAACATTTATATACTTCAATCTCAACCTAAAGAATAGTTTAATAACAAAAATAGCATGTTAAAAACAAACTTACAGCAATGAAAGAGAAATCCTCCTCTACTCTATCCACTGGGACGCTGTGAAAACAAATTCACATGTATTTATAATCAACATTTTGAAGAGCAATAAATTAATAGTTGTAGTATAAAACAAGATGATTAAAGCCTCACCCAGCAGCAAGGTTTTTCAAGGCCTGTTCACTTTGGACTAAAGACTCATGAGAAGGAATATTTGTAACAGCAGAGGGCTTTGACAGCTGAATTTCACTGTCCTTTTTTGTTTCCTTGGCTTTGGTTGAAGATCGTGTTGTCTTGTTAACAGCATTGTGGACTTTGGTGACTGGTTTAAGAGCAACTGGAATTTTTTTCTTCCCATCATCGATTATTTTGTCTATCGTAGCCTAAAATGGTAAAGACAAGTTTGTTCTTTAATACGAAGCCTCTTTAATCAAAATATTGGCAAAAAGCCTACTGTTGCTACAACTTTAGTCTAAATGAATTCAAAAATATGTAACTGAATACTACAACACAAAACATACATTTGTAATATCTCCAAAAGCAGCTCTTCTTGTCTGTATTCCTGTTCTTTTTAGCTTTGCCTGTCCACCTTTGGCTGGACCCTCAACTACCTGTTGAGAAAATAAGACAAATGGACAAAGTTTTAAACAAATACGGGAAATAAGCATCAAGTTTATGATAAAAATGAAAGTTCAGATAGAGATTCGAATGTGAATGTTAATGTGCCCAAGATTTGATTATCATATAGCCTACTTGGTTTATTTTAGTGATTTGATACTGCCCTTTGGACCTGTTTTTATCCAAGATTTGATTATCATATAGCCTACTTGGTTTATTTTAGTGATTTGATACTGCCCTTTGGACCTGTTTTATAAGTTATACAAGTAGATGCTAGTATACTAGTATAGTGAAAGTTATAATTTAATCTGTGGGACTACCTGTCAAAATACATTTAGAATAACTAACATTCCTGATATCAAGATACAAACTCCCAACCTAACCATTAAAAAAGGTTTTGGCACTTCAATAAAAAAAGAGTAAAGATTCAATTTATCAAAACTAAACAGTTTTGACTAAAGACCTACTTGTGTCTTTAAAAATCTAATTTTCAAAAATTTCTAGGCTACTGAATGATTCTGTTAATTAAAATTGGTAGAACTCCCATCGAATTAAAAGTAAAATAATTTTCATTGTGTCATTTTAAACAATAGGCCCAATGAAGTTTAAAATCTAATGTCAACCCTAGGAATTTGCAGAACCCTAACCTGTTTAGCGTACTACCACTGTACCACATAACTTACCTAACTTCTGACCATAACAATGCTAAACCTGAGGGTGATGATGTGTGTGGTAGGGTACAAGAGTATGTTGTAAAAGGATTTTATATAAATAAAAGATCGTGGCTGTGTAATGCAGTAAGCAAGAATGTGACATATAAGTGTAGTGTAGGTTCGTTGTTGGCGGGGAAGAAGGTTAGAGCATTCTTGTGTCTTGTGTTAAGTCGTAAATGTAGTCAAAGTTTTAGTATCATTTGTTCAAGTTGTCGTATGTATCCTTATAGCATAGTGCAATAAGTGTAGTAAACAAATGTCGAGTCATTTGTCTGAGTTGAGGTCGTACTTAAGTCCGAACTCTATGACAAACTCCTCAATGGTTAGAGAGAAACATGATGGTAGTGCAGGTGTAAACCATAATTGCAGGACATTGTCCCCAGTTATTACACAGATGCCCATACTTAAAGTTTGAGTAGCACCTTCCAAGAAATAAAAAACTGCAAGACAACTGATATTCAGCAACATCCATCCAGCAATTTCTTCTGGTAGATTACTAGATCTAGATCTAGAATCTATTGCCAATCTAGCTCTGTGGGCATTTCAATTTCATCATAAATCGCAGATTTTTCAATGTTTAGGCCCATGTTAAAATGTTTGATATTAAATTGTTAGTAGAATCAATTTGTTAAGCAGTGTTACTTAATAAGTTAGTGTGTTGCTGTTGGGTTTTTGTACTGTTAGGTTTGATTGAGATTCTTTACAGTAACAGTAAACACTAAAACTGACTAACAGCAGTGTGTGGTTACTTGACACTTGTCAAACTGTTTTTAATAAATTTTAGTTTTAGGGCTTTGTGGCTAAGAATCAAGTAGACAGTAATATTAACAAATAGATCTAGATCTATTAATAAATATTAAGATACGACAAATTAATTTTTAAATTTTTATAGTCCTGGTTAAAAAAAATTTGAAAAAACAAAGATGAGTTGTACAAGAAAAACGGTCGGTCATGTTTCAGGTCAGGTCACCAGGTAAGCTGTTACTCCTAAAATCTTCTAATCGTCAATGCTGGCTTTACCTTCTTTGATCCAATGCCTCTATTCAGAGGATCAACATTTTCTGAAATCTTCTTACGGGCAAACATCCTCAAGGGCAATGTATTTCCTGCGTCGTTTTCGTTTAATGTGGAATGGGTCTTCTAAGCAGATGATAACAATGGTGCTACAATAATAAACTTAGTGAACACACTTTACATGTTTCAAAATCTCGCTCAGGTCGGAGCCTTTCTCATTGGTTGCTAAATTGAGTTTAGTCCAATGAAAATGCATTTAGATAACTCTTCCTATTTTTTGTCTGAGAACATTGTAGTCTCCCCTGAAAGAAATTAATAATCAAAATGTCTGATTTAAATATGAACCACACAAGTTTAATTGAAACCAATACATTTATAAAAGATTCAAAATTTTGTGAATACAACGATGCCATTTCAAACCAGGTAAGACGTGTTTTTTTTTCAAGGATTAATTATTAAGTTTCTTTGCTTTTGGTTCAATCACGAATTATTTTCGGTCAAAGGTCATTTCCGACTTTTATTAATGTAAACAATACTAATATTTATTTTATTTTAATAAATCTACGCATATAAGTATACTCATCATAGATTATATATTGTACTGTTAGAATCTACAGACTAAAGTAAAGAAAAGGTAGAACAGGTCAAGATCTAGAAAGATTTTTTTCTGTGCTTTTGCTTTCAGTCTAGACCCAAGGCTACATTTTCTACTAAGCGCATGCTTTAGGTTTTTTTAGGTCGTTATGTCACAGTTGTCCGTGTACTGTGTAACTGTGTAGAATGTAATGTATTGTATTTATTGTAAGGCAAGGATAACCACCAAAACTGCATAAAAATGATTAGATCTAGATCTAATATCTTTGACTAACAATCGTGGGGAGCGGGTGAGTTTCAGAAAATATTTTTGCATTTGAAAAAGTATTACCGTAATTTCGTGTTTTGCAAAGATTTATTTTTAAAAATGTAATTAAGTAATTAAATCATCGGTATATATAGTATATTGACTTCTCAATGTCGACCGAGTTTAGTAATTAGTATTTAAGTCAAAAATACAAGTATTGCCATTTTGAGATGGGGGGGGGGGGGTCGTCCATAAATGACGTCACACTCGTAGTGGGGAGGGTTGGGTCCGTAATTTTGTGATGATGGGGTGGGGGTGGGGGTGGGGGAGGGGGGGGGGGTTCAGATGGTGCGACGTCACACTTCTGCATTATAAAAAAGCAATGTTAGAAAACGAATTTTAGAAGTTATTTCGCGTTTTAGAAAACTGTTTTAATAAATCGTAAAAGGAATTGATTAAAATACTCTATTTTGACAGAGTTCAGACAAGATTTTGGAAAAATATCGATGTTTAAAAAAAAATAATTCAGCTGCAATTTTGAGGGGGGGGGGCTGTAGGCTGAAGTGTGACGTCATTTTAGGGGGATGGTTCTGGCTTTTTGTGACGATGTGTGACGGAGGGGAGGGGGGGGGGGTAAAAATCTTCCAAAAAAGCGTGACGTCATTTATAGATGACCCCATGGGCGCCAGGCTGAATGTATAACCTACATTTGATGTGCAGTTGTTTTCTTTAATGTAGGTGTGTTGTTGTTAAATTCAACATGTGGACGTCAAACCCCAACGCTTCAAACCCCGTTCACGTCATGCGTCCACAAAACTCGATATTATCCGACCCCCCCCCCCCCCCCACACACACACACTCCCGTGTGAACGTCATAAATGGATGACCCCTTAGTGTGCGGGGTGGTAGGTCTAAAGGGGAAAAGCTGGTGTGCAAAATTTATTTTCTGTGCGCGCTGTTCTAAATGTTTTACACAAGGATATATTTATTTAAAAAAAATCATTGCGCGGCAGCTCAAAACTACTGCGCAGCCGCGCAACCGCGCAGCTTAGATGGAACATTGGCAGTGGCGTGCAGAGGGGGGGGGGGGGCGGAGGGGGCCCAGGCCCCGGGCAGCCACATCAAGGGGGCATCCAAAGGGGGTAAAAAAAATGATTTTTATTTATTTTTTTTAATTTTAATTTTTTTTTTTTTTTTTTTTTTTTTTTTAGGAAATCTAAATGTCTGCTAAACTTTGTCTTCCTAGGCAGAATTATCAAATTATCACAATTTGCCGAATTCACCGAAATGTGTATATACAATCAACACATGGCACTGATATAGTCATCGTACTGTCCGTGTCGTACAACCTTCAGGGAGAAAGGGGCATCGGTGAAGGGTAGTGGTGTAGTAGTCATTGATATTCCCCGAATAAATGTATGCAGTCTTTCAATTAATAGAGTATCTGATACTTGTGTAGGTAGGGGCATCTTTTAGAGAACACGCCCATAATCATTATATACAATTGTGGTCATCCATAGAGTATTAAAGCCCATGATTATAATTTACACACTGTAGGGGCATCTTTTAGAGAACACGCCCATAATCATTTTATACTTTGTGGTCATCCATAGAGTATTAAAGCCCATGATTATAATTTACACACTGTAGGGGCATCTTTAATGTAATTTGCTTATATTCATCATAATACTTTTGAAGGGCATCCAAACAGTAATTATGCCCGCATACATTTTATATATCATCAGGGCATCTTTAAAGTAATTTACTTGTATTCACGTTTGTATTTATATAATTATAGCAATTATGCCCATATTCGTTTATATATTATCGGATATTTATTATGCTTATATTCATTATTGAATGTCTGAAGGGCATCCCTACAGTAATTATGCCCTTGTTCGCTTTATATTTTATCGGGCATCTTTATTATGTTTCCATTCATTGCATAATGTTTGTAGGGCATCCTTATTTATTATGATGGACGTAACGGCATTCGTAGACTGATTAAGCACACAGCCTTTTGGTTGTTTTTTTTATTCTAATGATATTCTTTATTCATGGCCATTTGGATTTTTGTGTACGGTTAAATACAAACTTTCAAGTCCGTACTGTTTTGATACACTGGGCCGGGCCGAGTTAACTTCATTCTAAAGTTGTCCTTAAGTCTCACACTTCTTAATTAGGAGTCATCCATTTATGACGTCCACACTGGGGGGGGGGGGGGGGGGGGGGGGTCCGAAAAAAATTGACTTTTGTGGACGCGTGTGGACAGGGGGAGGGGGGGGGGTTGGCCCAATGTGGACGTCCACACATTAAATCTAACATTATTTTTGGTAGGCGGGGTTATCCCAGCTCAGTTGTGAGACGGAAGAGGGGTGGAGGGGGGGGGGCATAGCACGCTGTCCTTGTTCAGGTGTGGGACAGGAGGGGGGGGGGGGCGTTAATACACACTAGCATCAACGTTGGACTCAGTAATATAACAGTGTCAATGCGACTACAAGTGTGCGAAATAATGGCTAGTCAAAACACCGCGAAATATGCTAAATTAAATGATTTGTATCAAAAGGCTTATCCTTCCAAATTGAAATATCAACTTCAAAAAGAGGTTAATAGCCTATGGCTTAATTTAAAGAGGCAGCCAGAAGAACAATTTAATTTACAGCTAAATTAAGGGTCTGACATAGCATAGTGGATTTTTAAACACAGTCCGATGTAGAAGCAGGGGCGTAGCGAGGGGGGGGGGGGCGGGGGGTGCGGACCGCACAGGGTGACACCATTTAGGGGGTGACACCAAGGCAAAAAAATAGCAAAATATATATAGGCCTATACTTGAGGGGGGTGCAAATCGAAAGTTTGAGGGGGGGGGGGATTGCAAATCGAAAACTTGAGGGGGGGGGGGGTGCAAATCGAAAGTTTGAGGGGGGGGTGTGTGTGCAAATCGAAAACTTGAAAGTTTGTCCCCGGGAAGGGTCGCGACGCCTCTGGGGGGGGGGGGGGGTGACACCATTAAGTGCCACACCGGGTGACACCCGACCTCGCTACGCCACTGTGTAGAAGTGTTGTTTTTTTTAGGGCTGGCAGCTTTAGCCAAACAATGTACACTTCTGTTATATTCAAG